ACCCATAAGCTGGAAACCCAGTTTAGGGCTTAGAGTCCTAGGCATGGCAAGGCCACAGTCCCTCAAGCTAGCCCCAAAGCAAGTGACAAGAATAGGAGCCTTAGACCCCTGCCTAGGACTCCCAAGGAAGGGTCTGGATCCTAGAACTGGTGACATGTGGAAGGCTAGAGGTGGCTGCCCAATGTTTCTAAGTAGCCCATACTTCCCAGCCTTTGTGATGAATCTTGCCCTTTTCAAGTCGGGAACTCTCTCATTCTTCACTCAGGGGCCTGTCCTGAAAACATAAATTCACAGCTATAATCCAGAGCCTTACAGGCAGACAGATGTACCACACAGCAGCCTCAAGGCTTCCTCCAGCTGTCCTCAACCTGGGCTCATGTTTTAGAACCAATTCTCAGCATCCACTCTCCGACCACCGGGGAAGAAAGCACTGCATGACCCACCCTCCACCCAGTGAAGCATTTTGGCTCCATCAGGTAAAGAGCCCCTGGAGACTCCATGTATAACAAAAACCAGAAAGAGGGCAGAGAAATCAACAGACCACAGTGACCTTCATGTGTGCAAAGTACAGTTGTTAAAAACAAAGCAACAACAGAAAAGAGGCTGTAGCCTCAATGGGGCAGTGCTGAAGCAGAGCCCCATATTCCCAGACCTGTGGGGAGAGGGTCCTGCACCCCAACAGGTCTAGGGCTGGCAGGCAGGGAGGTAGGGTCTCATGTGGAGGCCCTCGTGGCAAATAATGGAGATCTGGTGGGGCTGATGGTGGGCTGGAGGGAGCCTGATTACAATGGGGCTGTGGCCTCAGCTCCCTCCTCTGAGTCCCACACCTCAGACTGCAGGTAATCAGCAAAGAGAGCCTTGGCCCGGCGTAGGACGCGCCCCAGGTGGTGTTTTCGCACGAGGCGGTCAAAGTGCATGGCCAGCTCGTTGTAATCCAGCCCGTTGCGCATGATGTGGTCACGGTGCTCCAGCAGTATGGCGAGACAGAGGAAGAGCATGAATGGGTTCCCCTGGCCAAACTCCTGGGGTGGGGGCAGGCCCAATGGGTGTGGGGGTGGCAGAGACTTCCCAGGGTCTTGTGGGGAGCCCACCTCAGGTATCAGGGGGGATCCTGCAGCCACATCACCAGCAGGAGAGGCCTCCTGGGAGGATGGCGGAGATGAAGAGGATGGTGAATCGGGGTGGGAAGAGGAGGATAGTAGTGGGTCTGAGGAGTTCAGCAAGGGCTCCGAGAGGGACTTGGAGCTAATGAGGGCAATGGGGTGGGGCAGCTGGACCCGAGGGTCCCTCCTGGGGCTGGTGTTATCCCTGAGTTGCTGGAAGTCATCCAGACTGGCTTGTCTCAGGAGACGTCCCCCGCCACTAGGCCCCTGACTGGTCATGGCCAAGTGGTCAACCGCATCTTCAAAAGCACCACCTCCCCCACCGGCAGGCCTCAACATGTGCCTCTGCCGCACAGGCCGCCCCCTGTGGCTGCTGAAGCCAGTGTCTGCCACTTGGCTGGGGGGTCCGATGAGCTCTACCTCGTGTTCAGGAGGATCGGGAGGCAGCGAGCTCCAGGTGACCTCGAGCATGCGGAGGGCATCGTCAAAGGCGAACTCGCGCTTGAGCTCAAGCAGCAGCCAGCGGTAGCAGAAGAAGAGATCATCAGCACCAGCTTCCTGCAAGTACTGGTAGAAGTCGGGGTCGGCGTGTCGCAGCAGCAACTTGAGGTGCGCGAACTTGGTGGCCATGGCGCGGCCATCAGGGTGGAAGTTCCCAGCCAGGCGCTTCATGATGCCACAAAAGCAGACGAAGGCATGGCCTTCATGGTCCATGACGGCAAGGATGGGTGAGGCGAGATCGCTCATGCCCTGGCAGTAGGACACCTGTGGGTGGGTGACGGCGTAAGTGGTGAGCAGGTCGTGCAGCGCGCGCAGGTGTGGGCCATCCTCGGGCCCCGCGTAGTAGGGGTGGGCCCGGTCGGTCCGCAGGACATCCTTGAGGACCGTGCTGCGGATGAACTCCAAGTCCTCGGGGCTGGCTCGCTGTGCCCACTCACTCTTAAGCTGCTCATATTCCCGACTCTTCCGTTTCATGTAGTCCATCCTTTCGCGGCCTGTCAGCCCGTCTGGGTACACATTCAGCAGATACCGCCACACCACCTGGTCAGGGACAAGAAGGATGAGGCTGAGGATCTACAGATGAGCTGCCACATCCCCGGGTATATCTGTCACCACCCCGCCCCTGCCCTGGACCTCTGTCCTCCTTCAGAAGTTTGCCTTCCCACCTTTGACTCCTAGCCCCTCCGGAAGGAGAGCTTGCTGCCCGGGAGCATCACCACGCCATCCCATGACAGTGTGGTCCACTGCATGTGTCTCATGAGCTACTCATGACTACGGGAGGAATGGATCCAGTGAGTGGTCGAGGGGGCTCACCTTTCGCAGGGAGGGCTCAACACCACCGTGATAGATCCGCAGGCGCAACTCCTCAGGGCGGGAGAGCTGGCCCTCGTGGTTCAGGTATGTGTGGAACTCAGCATCACTCAGGGGTGGCTTGAAAGGCTTGACATCCTCCCCGTATGACCAGCTCAGCACCTGCTGGACCTTAGACAAGGTGCGGCCCACCTGTGAAGGAGCGGGAAGGCCACTGGTCAGCTGGCAGGCTAGGGGCAGGTGCCAACCAGCACACTCAGAATTAGGGGAGCCAGGCAGGCCCTGCCCTACAGCCACCTGAGAGTCCCGGGGGTCCCTGAAACCACCTGAGAAAGGATGGACTGTGTGAAGGGCAGGGCAGCCGCTGTCAGCGATGACCGTTTCTCAGCCAGCAGCACGTCGGAGCCGATGACATCCTTGGGGCTGATTATGTCCCAGTCTTCCAGCAGCGGGCCTGGACACACAGAGCGAAGCAACATGATAATGGGGATAAGAACCTCACACCTCAGGGCTGGGTTCCTCTCCTGCCGAAGCCAGGCAACCACAGGGCAATGAGCAACTCCCACTCTCTCTTCCCATGTCATCTAAATCATGCAAAACATAGAGCCATAAATTATTTTTTTTAAATTTTTTGTATTTTTTTTATTCTTTTCTATTAGACTGACTGTCTTTTATATTAGGTAACTCTCACAAAATGGCTGGGCAGACTCTAATAGTAATATTTACCATGTGCCAGGTACTATGTGACAAGGGCTTAGCTTTAATTTAAATAATAACATGAGACAACATTTCCATAGTGCTAAGTGCCAGGAAGTGTTCTGAGCCCTTAGCTTTTTTTTTAAGAGTTGAATTTTTAAATATATATATTTTTATTGATTTCTGAGAGGAAGGGAGGGGAGATAGAAACATCAATGATGAGAGAATCATTGATCGGCTGCCTCCTGCACACCCCACACTGGGGATTGAGTCTGCAACCCAGGCATGTGCCCTGACTGGGAATCGAACTGTGACCTCCTGGTTCATAGGTTGATGCTCAACCACTAAGCCACACTGGCTGGGCAGAGTTGAATTTTTAAAATTGATTGTTTTTTGGAGAGAGAGTGAGGAAGGGAGGGAGGGAAGAAAGGAAGGAGGAAGAGAGGAAGAGATAGAGGGAGAGAGAAGGGGAGAGAGAGAGACATCTATCGGTTGTCTCACGCACGCGCCCTGACCGGGGATTGAACCCACAACCTTTTGGTGCATGGGATGATGCTCCAACCAACTGAAGCACATTGGCCAAGGCTTAGCTTATTTACTAGTTGCATCCATCCTATAAGTTAGGCACTATTATTATCACCACTCCTTCATGAGGAAACAGGCACAGTCAGGATAAGATAGTTGCCCAAGGCCCCACAGCTAGTGAGTGAAGGAACCAAAATGTGGAGTGCCCAAACTCTTTATCTTATATTCATGCCACGGCTCCTCCCACAATCAGTATAGATTACCATGGTCATTACAGAAGATGGAAAAGGGTTGGAATAATTAGTAAGTGGCCAAGATTCCGCAGCTAGGAAATGGGAAGGCCAGGATCTGAACCTCATTGGCCTTCCTCCAGAGCCCAGATAGATTTTAGAAAAAAAAATTTGTGGAATATGTATGTTCTGTATGTTAGATAGAGGAAACAATGCTCTGCTGGACTTTCTCCAGTTCTGGCCCTTGGAACATCAGCAGAAGTCTGTCCCTTCTCTCAGTTCTTTACAGCCCTGGAATCCTTTCTTCTCACCTCTGTGATGTGGTGGCTGAAGCAGCAGTGGCCACCTGGAGGTTAAGTTGTAGAGATTCAGGAGATGTCAGCCCTGGCACCACAGAGCTGCTAAGCTGACAACAGCAACATCTAGTGGCTTTCAAACTCTCTATATGAAACAAATCAACTTGGATTTGCTTACTAGTAATCTGTTGTCATCTGCAGGCAAGTGCCAGCCTTAAGCAGCATTTCCATGGAGTTCACTGTACTTTCGCCCTCAGAGCTGAGGAGGAAGCAGACTCTAGACCAGTGGTTCCCAATGTGGGGTACACACCCCACAGGGGGGCAATTTGATTTTTAAGGGGGCAGTTCGAGGATGAATTATTAACAGTGAATTTTTTGCATTTCTTATGGTTCTAGGGGCCTCATATACAGTATATAAATATTTATTGTGACATATTTATGCATTTCAGTTCTCTATTATATGTTTTGAAACTTTATTTGCTATTTTTTCATATCACTTCATATTATTTTTTTTAACAATTTCTTAGTGATTTCTTCTTCAGTACTGTCCTTTCGTTCTTTTATTTTTCTCTTTCATGGATGTCATGTTCTTTGGAAGCTTGTTTAGACCAAGTTAATGTCCTTTTAGGCTTCCTCCACGTGAATAGGCGTTCACTTTTTGAATAATAAGAATTATATGTCACGGGGGGGGGGGGCGGAGGGGCATCAGGATTTAGAGATGCTTAGGTGGGGCCTGGCCAATGAAAGGTTGGGAACCACTGCTCTGGACCATTTGGATGTCCCTGGCCCGCCTTGCACTAAGAACCTACGGGATCCAAAAGGGGAGCCTGAGTGCTCGCTTCAGCAGCACATACAAGTATACTAAAATCGGAAAGACACAGAAGAGATTAGCATGGCCCCTGCGCAAGGATGACACGCAAATTCATGAAGCGTTCCATATTAAAACAAACAAAAACAACGGGGAGCCTGAGAGCCACTCTACACATGGCCTCCTCTGCTCCTCGTATGAGTGAACAGTGTCTCTATCTGTTCAGTTGCTAAGCCAGAAACCTGAGAGACGTCCTTGCTGCCTCCCACTCTCTCAACTCCCAGTGCCAAACCGTTGCTAAGTCCCATGGCTCCTGCAGCAAAACATACTTTAATTCCACCTCTTCTCTCGTTTCCACCTTGTCAGCCTGTCAGAGCCACCACATCTCCCACCTGAAACTGCTGCCTAACCAGTCCCTGTTTCCTTTTCGCCCCTCCCCTCTCTCCCAACAGCTGCCAGAGTGGTCTTTCTAAAACATTAGAGCATTAAAACACAACAGGTAAAATGGAGGTCACACTACTGGACGGGTAAAATGAAGAAGGAGAAGACCAAGGAGAACCCCTTCAAGGCACAGACCTAAGCTTGATGATTCAAGTGAAAAAGTAGAGAGACCTGGAGGGCAATTCCAAAACACCTAATATGCAAATACTAGGAAATGCAGGGGGAGAAGGGAGATCAGGTGAAGACATTATAATCACACAGACATGAAGGAGAATGCCCTTGAGATGAAGAAATGGCTCACCAAGCCTCAGATAGGATTATTTAACAAGCCACACATATAATAGGCCTCCCCAGCGCTATCCAGATGCTAGTGAAATGCCCGAATTCCAGGAAGGAAGAAAAACCCTTGCCAGCTTCCAAAGTCAAGGAATAGGCTGCTTACAACAGAAAGAAGGTCATCAGAACTCTGGAAGCAAGAAGACAGTGGCCAGCCCTGACCAGTTTGGCTCAGTGGATAGAGCATCGACCTGCAGACTGAAGGGTCCCAGGTTCGATTCCGGTCAAGGGCATATACCTTGGTTGCGGGCTCATCCCCAGTAGCGGGTGTGCAGGAGGCAGCTGATCGATGTTTCTCTCTCATCAATATTTCTAACTCTCTATCCCTCTCTCTTCCTCTCTGTAAAAATCAATAAAATATATTTTTTAAAAAAGAAGACAGTGGCTTGTGGCACAAATGGAGTGTTGAGAAGGAAAGCCTAAGATCCAAGGGCTCCACGCCAGGCAAACAGTACCTGTCTATGGTGGCCAAATAAAGACATTTTTGGTCACTAGAGTACATCTAACTCACATACCTTATTGGAAGAGAACACAGAAGTTCTCAAAGGAAATGACTACAACAGCTCAAGGGAGGGAAGGCAAAGGAAGTGTAAATGGTGATGGGCCACAGTTTGTAACATATATAGTTAAACATGAAATGACAGAGACACTGTGATTGGGAGTTTGTAATCTTAAGTGTTACTTTAGCATTCCTTAAACATAAGCAACCTACTATAAAGAAAAGATAATGATAGCCTGGAATTAAAAAAGAAACAAAAATTACCGTCTCAGCAAAACCCAGAAGTTAAGGGTTAGGGATCAGAAGAAGAATTAGAATTAAAAGTGTTCCAGCCCTGGCCTGGTATCTCAGTTGGTTGGAGCATCGTCCCGATATGCCAAGGTTTCGGGTTCCATTCCCAATCAGGGCACATACAGGAATCAACCAATGAATGTATAAACAGGTGAAACAATAAATCTCAATCTCTCTCTCTCTCTCTCTCTCTCTCTCTCCCCCTTCCTCCCTCCCTCCCTCCCTCCTTCCCTCCCTCCCTCTTCCTCTCCAAAAATCAATTAAAAGAAAAAGTGTTCCAAAGCTTTCATTCCAAGGGCCAGGGAGGGTGGGAAACACTGGATGAGAAAAGTAAGTGGCCTAAAGATTTCACTGTCGCCCTAGCTGGTTTGCTTCAGTGGATAGTGCATCGGCCTACAGACTGAAGGGTCCCAGGTTCAATTCCAGTCAAGGGCATATGCTGGGTTGCAGGCTCAATCCCCAGTAGGGTGCGTGCAGGAGGGAGCCAACCAATGATTCTCCCTTATCATTGATGTTTTTATTTCCCTTTCCTCTCTGAAATCAATAAAAATATATTTTTTAAAAAGATTTCACCGTCAATTGTGTAAAAAAGCATAAATCCAGCTATGGGTTTTTTTATGAGAGATATACCTAAAACTAGGTGACAAAGAAAAAATGAAAATTGAAGAAACCTGAAGGAATACCTGGCAAACACAAACAGAAAACAAAGCAGCAATGTTAATGTCAGAAAAAACACACCACTCAAGGCCAAAAACATTACAGGAAAAAAGAGACAGTCTTATATAGATTTTAAAAAGAAAGAACCCATTGGGTAAAGGATTTGTACAAGCAGAAACTCATCTAGTGGCAAAACCTGATCTGAACTGACATGAGACTATATATAGTCTTTATGTAACCCACTGAGTGTGAATATACATACATTTCCCTGAAGAAACACCCAAGTATTTTATTACAGGGTGTTGCCTCAGGCCCTGCATCTGGTATTGCATAACATATGCTGTACAGACTACATTTCCTCATCATAAAATTGTCAAACTTCCCAAACCCCAAATTAATACATAAACGCTGCGTAATGCCAATCGGAAATGCAATGGGGTTTTTCCTGGAACTGGATAAAATTATTTTAAGGTTCATATGAAAGAATTCACAGTTAGGGATAGTTAAGGAAAAGAAGAGTCATGAAAAAGAATAGTGGAAGGATGGCAATGCTGGACTTATTAATATTTATCACAAAAGTACTATGATAAAAATATGATGTTAGCATAGCAGTAGAGAAAGAGAGCCAATTGGTGGAATGCAATAGAAAGCCCAGAAATAATTCCAAGTACACATGGGAACTCAGTATTGACAAAAATGGCATTTCAAATCAGTGTAGAAAAGGTGGTTATTTAAAAAATGATGCTGCCCTGGCCGGTGTTGCTCAGTTGGTTGGAGCGTCATCCTGTACAACAAAAGGTGGCAGGTTCCACTCCTGGTCAGGGCACATACCCAGGTTGCAGGTTCAATCCCTGGTCAGGGCGCGTGCAGGAAGCAACTGATTGGTGTTTCTCTTTCATCTCTCTCTCTCTCTCTTAATAAATAAATAAATAACATGTATAAATGATGTTGGCATAATTGACTATTTGGAATTTTTAAAAAAATCAATGTCTAGTTATCAGAATGTTGACAGAGTAGAGATTTACATATAAAAAAGAAAATAATAAGCATATTAGGAGATATAGGGGAAGGTGTTCCAAATTAAGAGGAGAAACTCAGAAATCATAAAGAAATAGGTATCCTATATAATAAAACCCTAATATGCAAATCAACTGAATGGCGGAACGGACCTATGATGGGCACTGACCACCAGGGGGCAGACGCTCAACACAGGAGCTGCCCCCTGGTGATCATTGTGCTTCCACAGGGGGAGAGCAGCTCAGCCAGAAGTCGGGCTCATGGCTGGCAAGCGCAGCGGCGGTGGTGGGAGCCTCTCCAGCCTCTGCAGCAGTGCTAAGGAGCAGGGAGTCGAGCAGTAAGGAGCAGTGAGCAGGCGGATGGTAAAAAGCCAGGGGTCCCGGACTGCAAGAGGAATGTCTGACTGCCGGCATGTGGACGTCCCCCGAGGGGTCCCAGACTGTGAGAGGCGCAGGTCGGGCTGAGGGACTGCCCCCACCCCCATGCACAAATTTCGTATACTGGTCCTCTAGTATATGTATAAGACTGCGTCTAAATTTTAATTTTCTTAAAAAAGACATTTTTATTGATTTCAGAGAGGAAGGGAAAGGGAGAGATAGAAACATCAATGATGAGAGAGAATCATTGATTGGCTGCCTCCTGCATGCCCCCTACTGGGGATCAAGCCCAAAATCCAAGCATGTGCCCTGACTGGGAATTGAACTGTAACCTCCTGGTTCATAGGTGGATGCTCAACCACTGAGCCACACCAGCCAGGCTTAATTTTTGATAGGACAAAAAAAATACCATAAACAAAACGATAGAACAAAAGGTAAGCTGGGGAAAAACATTTGCAATTCATCTCATTGAAAGAAGATTCTTTTTTTAAAATACATTTTTATTGATTTGAGAGAGGAAAGGATAGGGAGAGAGAGATAGACACATCAATGATGAGAGAAAATCTACAGACGAATGAACCAGGAGGTCATGGTTCAATTCCTGGTCAGGCCAATTTGAGGTTGTGGGCTTGATCCTCAGTAGGGGGCATGCAGGAGGCAGCCGATCAACGGTTCTCTCTCATCACTAATGCTTCTATCTCTCTCTCCCTCTCCCTTCTTCCCTGAAATCAATAAAAATAAATTTAAAAAAATAAATACAACTGCCATTATCACATTGCTATATTTACATATTATAACTGAAACATATCTATAGCTCTATTGTTATACTGCATTGTATAATTATATATTACTAGATTATATGCTACAATAATAAATATAATTATTTTACTAGAGCTAATACTTTTTGAGTATTTACTATGTAGCAATGCACCGTTACAGGCATTTTACATGAATTTCCCTGTTTAATCCTCTCGATAGCCCTAAGATACCATTTTGTCTACAGGTAAAGAAATTGAGGCCCAGTGGTCAACCCAGAACTTGGAATGAGGCTACTTTGCTCCCTAGACCACTGTGAGGGAGTGTTATTGCAAGGGTGGCATCATCCTATAGGGACAGGGTAGGTCCCAGAGCAGTGCCCCCCCCCCCCCCCCCCAGGACACTGGGTACTCACTGTCCTCAGTGGGCCGAATATCTACACGCAGCTGCAGGTAAGGTTTGGAGGCAGTGGCGAAGGCTGTGCTGAGGTCCCAGTCAGACAGGAGTGAGAGGTAAGCTTCCTGCCCCAGCCGATCCCGGCCCAGGTAGCTGATGCCAAAGTTCTTCTTCCTGGACATGGGAGGTGCGGCAGCTCTCAGTGCCCCGGAGGCCTCAGGGACAGTTTCCAAAAGAACCAGGGGAAGGTAAATGATGTTGATTGACAACAACTTTCTACTAGGTGCTAGATATTGTGCTAAGGATTGAGGGCAGATCCCTCATCTCTACTTGGTAACACAAACACAGAAACACACACACACACCT